GCTATCATACCCTGTGCACACTTCCCTGCACACACTGACAGCTTTCATACCCTCTGCACTCTTCCCTGCACACACTGACAGCTATCATACCCTCTGCGCTCCTCCCTGCACACACTGACAGCTATCATACCCTCTGCTCTCCTCCCTGCACACACTGACCGCTATCATACCCTCTGCGCTCCTCCCTGCACACACTGACAGCTAACATACCCTCTGCTCTCCTCCCTGCACACACTGACAGCCATCATACCCTCTGCGCTCCTCCCTGCACACACTGACAGCTATCATACCCTCTGCGCTCCTCCCTGCACACACTGACCGCTATCATACCCTCTGCGCTCCTCCCTGCACACACTGACAGCTATCATACCCTCTGCGCTTCTCCCTGCACACACTGACAGCCATCATACCCTCTGCGCTCCTCCCTGCACACACTGACAGCTATCATACCCTCTGCTCTCTCCCTTGCACATTCTGCCCTGTCACGTCATTCACATTATAGTCCCCTTTATTTGGCCCCCAAGAAATTTTAGCATTGTTTTGTTATATCCCCAACCTTTCCCATTATGGAATGGACACACTTTTGCTAGTGTCTTTTTATAGCTCAGGAGTTCTTTATTATGCATCATTATGGTAACTAATGAACTAATTTTTCTGTTAGCAAACAAAGATTTGTGTTTCTTTTAAATTTTGCCAGTATCATCTTATTTACTGGTGGTCAGTCTACAACTTCCACCAACCAAAAAGGTGAACTGCTGTGACCTATCCCATAAAGTATTTTGTAAGGCTATTTGAACAGTAGATGTTGAGCCTGTGTACACCCAATCCCAGGCATTTTAGTGCACCCTAAAAACACAGGTGCAGTGTCCAACCCTGCTGCCTACAGCTTGTCAAAGTCTATGGCAGGTTGAAATAAGTTGACAGCTCCTGGTGTCAGAGTAAGTTTGCATTCACAACTGAGAGTGAACATTTACAAATGAAACAATTCAGGCTCAAGAGCTTTTGTTCTAGCCATTGAAAAGCTAGCTTTACCTGGAGGAGGTGATGGAGGTTTAGGCTTCAAAAATGCTTTTTGTCAAGCTTTTTTCAGGTCAATGGGCCATAGATGTCCCATCCTACTTCTGAAATAACTTGCGTACCTTTTTTGAGCTTCAGGCATTGATCACTTGATGAAAACTACAACTATAGAGGTGCGCTCCCTTTTATATATATATATATATATATATATATATATATATATATATATATATACTGTGCTTATATAAAAAAATCTATTACTGATTTCATTAAAAAAAAAAATGCAATAAATTCTGTGTAACACGCGTAGTGAAGGTCATAAAGTGAAAAGCAAAGTCCATCTAACATGTCCTTTACAAGACTTTTATAACCGAAATAAGTTGTCTCTATTGATCCATTGCTGGCTTCTCAAAAAAAACTTTCAGCACTTCAACCAATTTTGCATGGTGAACTACAGTGCACCTTCTCCCCAAAACAAATCATATGCTCTTTTGTGCTCACACCCAAGCTGTGCACTCCCATGACACAGTTAACCTAATAAGTCCACAATACCTAAGGTTTTATGCTGTCCTTCCAGGTAGCCTTCAAGCATTCCAGGTCACCTCAATGAAATCTTATATCTCTGCACCTTTTAACCCACCAGGTACATTTTGGCCATCATGAGTAAACAATAGAATAAAATGCCATAGTGCAGTATATTTTAATAAAAAAAAAATTAAAATAAAATGAAAAACACTTCCAAGTGCATACTCACATTAAAAACAAAAATGGCAGTATTAGACATGGTTACTGTACAACACTGATCCAAGATGCCCGCTGATGACATGACTTTCTGCCAGCTTTCAGCGTGCATTCTATGGACCAGAAGTGACGCAAGCAGATGTGATGTCATGACGAATAGCCCCACCAACGCATTTTGTCCAATTGACATCCTCAGGGACGGATGTTTATTGTACGCCCTCCATGTCATGCTATATATACAGCACCTCTGCCATTTAATTGGTGTTTACTATTTCCACTTGATCACTGTGATAACCAATCCACTAGTGTTAGAACCCGCAACTCGCTAGAGAAGTCTGTGTACATAGAAAGGACTGTTAAAAAAAGATAAAATAGATCAGAGCCTAATATAGATAAGTGCCAATGGTAATGTTAGGGACAATATCAGTGTTAGTGTCAGTGTGTTTTTACGTAGAAAAAAAAGTTTTTATATTTTGTGTCAGTGTATTTAGGTAGGATTAAAAAAGAAGCATAATGAGCACTGTGGGAGAGATCTCATAACACGTACCAGCAAATGAAGGCCAAATGTATCCTGAACAAAACAAGGTATAATTCACCTGGGGTGCCTCTAATGTGTACATACTTTTAAAGGGTGCCATGATTGAAAATATGTTGAGAAACACTGATCTGCATTATATATTCTATACCACTTATAATACTGACATATTAATAGACCAACTTTGTCTCACAGGGATCACAGAATTCCACCTGATTTTATGAACAGACACATTTTAATAGTTAGAACATAAATTAAAAATCCTGCAGGGACCCTTCATGATAAATACAGTATGTGTACAAAAATCTTACTTGTGTCCAGGGGAGATGTCATATGCAGGTTATTAACTTTTTAGCAGCTGTTTAATCCTGAAAAAAATATTAGTTTTTGATCTGAACTAATTGTAAGAAGCAATGACTCAATATACCCAAGTGTAATCATCTGTGCAGTATGACATTGCCACCTAGTGGATAAAAATGATTACAGCATACAAGCATACTGGGATCTGTTCATTTAGGTTTTGTGTTTCCTGAAGATGTGTATTAATTTATTTTTGTTTATTTTTGTCATGACCTTGTTAAATTGAATAGTAAAATATTATGTATAATTCATATTTTTTTTCTTGTAACCAGGTGGCATTGTTCTAAACCAAAGCTGCGGTGTGGTGAAACAAAAATATTGCTGTTCTGAAGTTAAGGAGCAGAAAAATCTGTGAAAGGTGGGTTCCTCCAGTAGGATATGTGTCCATGATTACTGCGCATTGTATGCAATTTTTTTTCATTTATGGGACCACTCCACACCAAACCAATATTTTAGTTATGAGTGGAAGGCAATGGGTTAAGCCCCTCGCTAGAATTGGAGGATACTAGCTATCTAATATCTGCAAGTGAGTTCCAAGGCTACCTAAATATTGAATTATTAAAGTTACTTACTGTATATTATATCTATTTTCTGCTGTAAGTATGGAAGGCATGTGCTTACAAGAGAAATGGTCACCATACACTTTGCAATCTGACCATACAATCTTTGTACAAGCAAGATTAGATTTAACAAACTATGGGGGTTATTTACTAAAACTGAAACATGACAAATCTGATACAGATTTGCATTGTAACCAATCAGCTTCCAGGTTTATTGTCAAAGCTTAATTGAACAAGCTGAAATTAGATGCTGATTGGCTACCATGCACAGCTGCACCAAATTCTAAGTGCTTCAGTTTTAGTAATTCCCTTCCTATGTACTATGGGGACCTAACCAAAATATCCAATATATTTTGTATCCAATCAGACAAGCCCTTACACAACTTAATTGTTGGTAGATTTAAAGGAGATTGTACAATCAGATTGTAACATTTGTGGTGAGCTGAAGGCTAGAGTTTGAGATAAGAATCTATCATCTGTTTTTAGTGAAGCAATGTAGAACTTTCCAGCAAACATTTTATGATTGTGGATTTCCCACATATTCTTTATTTTGAAGATATTGTACAGCTGTTGTTTCATACCGTAGCTACTTTTGCTTTGGAATTTCCACTTGTACCTTTCAAAATTCCAGGCAGCAGTAGACCCACAGAAAGGTGATTAATAGGGGTACCTTGTGGGGAATCTATATTTTCAGATTATATATGTAACAGGATCAGCTTAAAATGGACTTCAGGAAGTTTACAAGTCTACAGTAAAACATTCCTGATGTTCTAGACATATCACAATATACAGCAACCATACATTTTTAAAAAGTTCCACCTTGGGTCCATGAGCTCCAGACCAGTGACTGTGTCTAGGTGAAGAAGAGGCTATCAGTCTGCTGCAGGCAGGAGGGATCATTTTCTCAGTCTCCTTTTTGCCAGTGATCGGACTGCAACATTGTAGCTTTGTAACATGCCACGAGGTGAAAGGCTGCAGCAGGGGTCTAGTATGTGTATGTGGTACACTCACATATCAATTAGCATTTCATGCACTTAACATAAAAAAATATATTGGATGATTAGGTCATTTTTAGAGCTGAGATCTAGACAGACTCCTAAATATATGAATGAAATACATACAGTGTATTTTATGATCTTGTGACAAATAAAAATTGAGAAATAGAAGTTTGAAAGTGGGAAAGTGTGTTGGGGTCATTAATTGTATAAGGCATCCTAATGCACCTTAACCAATTTAGCAATGTTTACATTGCTGCTTTGGGCTTGTTTATTCAGCGATAACTTTGTCATTACTTAGTGGAATTAAACTGTGGTGGGTGCAGCCAGCATTTGCCATAATGTGCAAGTATACACATTATAACACACTTACCTCTGGGTCTGCTTTCCTTTGGACACTGTGAGGTTTATGCTTCCTGCATCCACTCTACCATGGTGCCAGGTCCCCATTTTCTCTGATCTCCTCAGTCTTCTTGCTTTATTGATTAAAACAGTAGAAAATATTAAATCGACAAAAAATTAAACTGCTAAATTTCTTTTAATTTGCAAAAATAAGTGCCATAAGATGCCACCAGCACCAATATATTAACCACTTGCCTACAGGGCACTTATACCCCCTTCCTGCCCAGGCCAATCTTCAGCTGTACCCATATGAAATTGTTATTATTTTTTGAGACAGATAGAGCTTTCGTTTGATGGTATTTAATCACCTCTGGGTTTTTTATTTTTTGCTAAACAAAACAAAAACAACTGAAAATTTTGAAAAAAAAAAAAATTTTTTTTCTTAGTTTTTGTTATAAAATTTTGTAAATAAGTGATTTTTCTCCTTCACTGATGTGCGCTAATGTGCAGTGATGGGCACTGATAGGCTGCACTGATGGGCACTGATAGGTGGCACTGATGGACACTGATGAGGAGGCACTGGTAGGTATCATTGATAGGCATTGACAAGCATCATTGATGGGCACTGAAAAGCAGCACTCATATATGGCACTGATAGGTGGCACTGATAGGCGGCACTGACTGGCAATGATAGGCGGCACTGACGTACACTGATAGGTGGCACTGATTGGCATTGATAGGTGGCACTGATAGGTGACACTGAAAGGCAGCTCAGATGGGCAGTGATATGTGGCATTGATGAGGCACTGATGGGCACTGGCAGGTAGCATTGATGGGCGATGACAGCTGGCATTGATGGGCACTGACAGGTGGCACTGCTGGGGCTACACTGATCATCAGGGCACACTGACCATCAGTGCCCTGACAATCAGTTTAGATGTCCCCTCCGAGCAATGCCGATTACCAGCTCTCCTCTCCTCACGAGCTGACAGTGTGACAGCTCGTGAGGAGAGAAATGCCGATAATCGGCATTTCCTTATTTACATGTGATCAGCTGTGATTGGACAGGGGGGATCAGCAGAGGTGGAAAAGGGTATACATATGCCTTGTGTACTTTGATTATGTTTTTTGACGTATGTAGCATGCCCATGACAGCTCAGCTACTGTGCTGTGTGATGAGTGTACTCTCAGCACAGTAAAGCCATTCCCCACAGACACACAAACACACACACACACACACACATATATTGCTCAAAAAAATTACAGGAACACTTTGAAAACACATCGAATCTCCATAGGGAAAATATTGTGCATGATATCTATATTGATATGGACTGGGTAATGTTTTAGGAACGTAAGGATGCCCCATTGTTGGATGGAAATGAAAATTATCAACCTACAGTGGACTGAATGCAAAGACAACCCAAAGCGGCGTCGGATGGACCAAAACATGATATCCCAGAGGTGTTCAATTGGCTTTTGGTCAGGCAAGCATGGGGGCCATTCAGTGGTAATTCATCCTCCAGAAACTGCCTGCATACTCTCGCCACATTAGGCCGGGCATTGTCATTCACTAGGAAGAACCCAGGACCCACTGCACCAGCATAGGGTCCGACCAGCATAGGGTCCAAGGATTTCATCCTGATACCTAATGGCAGTCAGGGTGCCATTCTCTAGCCTTTAGAGGTCTGTGTGTCCCTCCATGGATATGTCTCCCCAGACCATCACTGACCCACCACCAAAACGGTCATGCTGAACGATATTACAGGCAGCATAACTTTCTCCATGGCTTCTCCAGACCCTTTCAAGTCTGACACGTGCTCAGGGTGAACTTGCTCTCATCTGTGAAAAGCACAGGGCGCCAGTTGCAGACCTGCCAATTCTGGTGTTCAATGGCAAATGCCAATCAAGCTCTACGGTACCAGACAGTGAGCACAGGGTCCACTAGAGTATGTCAGGCCCTCAGGCCACCCTCATGAAGTCTGTTTCTGTTATTTGGTCAAAGACATTCACAACAGTGGCCTGCTGGAGCTCACTTTGTAGGGCTCTGGCAGTGCTCATCATGTTACTCCTTGCACAAAGGAGCAGATACTGGTCCTGCTGATGGGTTAAGGCCATTCTAAGGCCCTTTCTAGCTCTCTTAGAGTAACTGCCTGTCTCCTGGAATCTCCTCCATGCTCTTGGCAATGGCACATATTGATGTGCCATCCTGGAGGACTTGGACTGCCTGTGCAACCTCTGTAGGGTCCAGGTATCGCCTCATGCTACCAGTAGTGACACTGACACTAGACAAATGCAAAACTAGTGAAAAACAGTCAGAAAAGATGAGTAGGGAAAAAAATGTCACTGGCCTCCACCTTATTGTTGTCCATCTAGCGCACCTGTTGTTAATTTCATTAACACCAAAGCAACTGAAGCTGATTAACAACCCCCTCTGCTACTTAAATGACCAGATCAATATCCCAGGAGTTTAATTGACTTGATGCTATACTCTGATTAACCTCCCTGGCGGTATTCCCGAGTGTAGCTCGGGGTAAAGTTTCAGCACCACAATCGGTAATCCCGAGCTACACTCGGGAATACCTTGCAGCGTTGCTCCTCTATCTCTTCTACACTTACCTTGTCCTTCGCTCCCGTGATGTCCCTCCTGCAGCGTCCCCTGTAATATCCTCCGGCCGATGCCGGCATCTGTCTTCTGGGTTCCGTTCCCTGCGACGTCAGGATGTACGGGGGACGGAATTGGTGGGAAATTTGAAAGTTGAAAAAGTAACATTCACTAAAATCACATAGTAAAACATTACTATACCAAACCATTTCACATACATTTTGTCCCTAGTGCTTTGTCCTGTGCCCTGCCTGCATTTTTACTGTTCTTTCTGCCTGGAAACTGAAAAATGTCCATGGCATCCAAAGAGCATCCCTTTTGGTCAAAAGCGGTTTTAGACCAGCTAGAGAACAGCGATAGTAAATCAGAACTACTTGCAGAATTGAGTGATAATGATTCGTGGGGAAATTCGTCATCAGACACTGAAAACGATTTTGCGACTAAGCTCAGTGATGTGCGAACTTGGCGCTATATTTCAAATTTCTGTGTTTTTGGTTTGATTATATTATTTAATTAAATTTATTATTATATTATTATTTTTTATGATTATTTATAAAATTATAATTTATGATTTCCTGTTTCAAATTTTAACATACCCGGGATGTTTACTAGACTTTTGTTCGGACGGATTTCAGTGAGTTATTCCTAAAAATTACAGGCCTACAATTAAAAAAATACATATTTCCATGCAAAAAAATGTACCGCTTTGAGCACAGAAATATGGACATAATCAGACCGCTAGGGAGGCTACAAAGTGTTCCTTTAATTTTTTTGAGCAGTTGATACGTGTGTGTGTGTGTGTATATGTATGTATGCATATGTATGTGTGTGTATGTATGTATATATATATATATATATATATATATATTTACCTTAAAAATGGACTGGACAAAATTATTGGCACCCTCAATTTAATATTTGGTAGCACACCCCTGAAATAACTGAAATCAATCGCTTCCTGTAACCATCAATTTCTTACACTTCTCCACTGGACCACTCTTTCGCCAACTGCTCCAGGTCTCTCAGATTGGAAGGCTTCCTTTTCCCAACTGCTATTTTGAGATCTCTCCACAGGTGCCCATGGGATTGAGATTCTGGACTCATTGCTGGCCAGTTCCGTACTGTCCAGCGCTTTATCTTAAACCATTTCTGGGTGCTTTTTGACATGTGCTTTGGGTCATTATCCTGCTGTAAGATCCATGACCTCTGACAGAGACCTAAATTTCTGACACTGGGCCCCTAGGGCCCCTACATTACACCCCAGAGTTCTTTTGGTAGTCCTCACATTTCATAATGCCATGCACACGGTCAAGACATCAAGTGCCTGAAGCAGCAAAGCAACCCCAAAACATCAGTGAACCTCCACCATGTTTGACTGTAGGGACTGTATTCTTTTCTTTAAAGGCCTCATTTCTTTTTCTGAAAACAGTAGAATGATGGGCTTTGCCAAAAAGCTGTCATTTTGTTTCACATGCAGACAGCACATTGTCCCAAAAGGATTTTGGCTTCCTTGGGTAAGTTTTGGCAAACTCCATTCTGGCTTTTGTATATTTCTGTCAGCTGTGGGGTCCTCCTGGGTCTCCTACCATAACATCCCTTTTTATTCAGATTGCAATGTATAAAGCGAGCTGACACAGTTGTAGCCTGTGCCTGAAGGTCAGCTTGAATTTGTCGAGAAGTTGATCGAGGTTCTTTATCCGCCATTCAAACAATCCTTCATTGCAATCTTTTTGATCAAGTTTTTCTCTTTCGTCCACGTTCAGGGAGATTAGCTACAGTGGCATGGGCTGTAAACTTCTTGACAATGTTGCGCACAGTGAACACAGGAACACCTAAGATCTGTTAATTGATACAGGTGAGTTTAATTACAAATTACAGGAGCATCACAAACCTGGAATGCAGTTATTTCTTACAATTTTGAGCAGGTGCTAATAATTTTGTCCAGTCCATTTTTGGGGTTTTGCGAAATGGTGCTTTATCTGACAGAAATGCAGGGGTACCAATATTTTTAGCCGCAAGCATATATTTATCATGTGCACACTACCACATGCATTTTATGGTGTGAACAAGCCCTTAAGCTGGCCATAGATAGGTCGAAATCCATCTGTGACTGGTCTTGTTTGAGAACAGTCGATTAGAGATGGGCATAATGGAAAAATTACATTTGTTTTGTTAAAAGTTAATAATTCAGTTTTGTCATATGTTTATGTTAGAATGATTCGTTTTTGGAATTAATTTAATATATTTTTTGATATATTCCTTATTTTCAAATCAATCTGTAATTTGTAATTTAAATTTCAGAAGATGGCGATATTCATTCTAATTTATTCGATTCTATTTTTTTTTCATTCTATTCTAATTTTCTGTTCTATTATTTTATTCTCTGTTCTTATCAGTCTATTTTTTCTTTTCTAGTCTATTCTACTCTCTTATATTCTATTCTATTCTATTTTATTCTATTCTTTGATTTTCTATTCTGTTTTATTCTATTTTATTCTATTCTAATCTTTTTATTTTCTATTCTATAAAGTAGCCCAAGTAGGAATCATCATCTTATTTTTCTTTTATACTTTACTGTATTTATTTCGATAGGTTTCCATTTTCGAAATCAAGTTCATATATCAATTTGAATTAGAATTCATTTTCAAATTCAGATAATTCATTTCATATAATCTATTTGGGATTTGTTGAAATCTCGGTTATTATTGGGATTCATAAATTCTGAAACGAATTGCACATGTCTACAGTCGATCTCTGATAATCTGCTCATGAACAGGTTTGCTGGAAGATTTTAGTTCGATCAATACTACAGCCAAAAGCCTACAGCACTGATCAGTGTATTCTGATATTGGAGGAGTCAAGCTGACTCCTCCAGTGTCAGACTACAGTGATACAGCGGGGAAGATTCCCCTATCCACACAATTTAATTCAGTTTTTATTTTTTTTCGCTCAGCCCACTTTTAAAAGGGGAATAGGGAGATGGAAACCTCTGCATGTTACTGCAAGGCAAGAGTCAGTAAAATAGGTAAGTTTTAAAATGTAGAAATCCTTTCTAAACTGTCGTGACAATTTTGTATAATCTTGCATTTCAATAGCAATTTATGCAAAATAATATATACTGTATACATATAAATAT